CCCGGCTGTAGGATGACGTGTTCATGGTTTCCGAATGGTGTAGGCGCGTCTTCAGGAGATATGTCTGGATTTTTCTTTGGACTGGTCTTATCATTGTTATTATCATATGTTTATTTTATATGTCTATTGTTGTCACATATTTTTTAATTCTTTCTTCCTTTAAATAGATTCTGATTCATTAATTCTGTTGCTGTTTCATTTTGCAAGGGGGGAAATTCACATGTGGTAGCCATTGTGTCGATATGTGCGTGGAATGTAATAAAAATGGTATGAATCATAACTGTGAAATGCTATCATGAAATACCAATAATCTCTGATGGAGATACACGAAACACGTTCAAGCAGATATAATGTCTTGCCAAAGAAAGATGCAAACAGGAATTCAAAATTATTTTCAAGATGTTCCTTAGAACACACTGACGTCTTAACCTATATTCAATTACATGACTTTATTGTACTATAGTAACATCACTTTTAATTAATCATATTTCATGTTTGTATTTTGCTTCCTTATGTTGTTTTTTATATCCGTAAAATCTCTGTCAGCGTCCCTCAGCTTTCCTGCCTTAGATGAGCTTAATAGTTGCAATATGTGTTGAAAGCTTGATTGCATATCGGTTACCAAAATGTTCATGTCACACCTCATGTCGTGTGTGCAAACCGACATGAGAAGTCAAACAGGAAGACAGTCGAAATACTCTTGAAAGACCATATCACTTGCAGGCGATGATTTTCCGAAACCAATGAAGAATCTTTTGTGTGCTTTGAAACATGAAAATAAAATTGCCTCTGAAATGGCTCCCGGAATATGGAGAAGAAAAGGAAGAAGGAGAAAAAGAAGAAGTATGCTTTTTTTGTGTGTAAAACTTGCTGGACGAATGTGAAAGAGAAAAAGAAGAAAATAAATACATTCAATAAATACATGTGGTATTACTTACTCTGATAAAAAGGTCAAACAAATTATATATGTATTTTTTTGTTTTTGGTTTATTGTAAACAAAAGTAAGGATAGTTGTGAGGTAAAAATGTTCGGTTAAAATAGCTTTTGGAAACTGTGCTGAGAGAACCGTGTTATTTTCTCCCTGCAACGATAAGAAAAAGCTTTCAGAATTAAAAAAAAGAATCATCGAGAGATGTAAGTATATATATATATATATATATATATATATATATATATATATATATATATATATATATATGTATTATATATATATATATATATATGTGTGTGTGTGTGTGTGTGTGTGTGTGTGTGTGTGTGTGTGTGTGTGTGTGTGTGTGTGTGTGTTTGCGTGTGTGTGTAATCATAATAACAATAATAATAAAAATAATAATGATAATAACAAAAAGAACAATAACAATAACGATAATTATAGTACTAACAATAATGATGATGATAATGATAAGAATAACAATAACGATACTAATATCAATAACAAAACGACCTCATCAACGGCAACAACAACAGCAGTAAAAATAATAATGATGGTAATAAAAGTTATGACAAAAAATAATAATGATGCTCATGCTGACGTTATTATTAGTAGTAATGATAATAATAATAATAATAATAATAACAATAATAATAATAATAACAACAACAACAATAGTAATAATAACATCAGCTATAATAATATTCAGAATAATAATAATAATAATATAAATAATAATGATAATAATAATGATAATAATAATGATAATAATAATAATAATAATAATAATAATAATAATAATAATAATAATAATAATAATGATAATAATAGTAATAATAATAATGATAATAATAATGATAATAAAAATCATCAGCATTATTAGTGTTTCCATGTAAGTGAAAGTACTTTTATAATATCAAGTCAAAAGGTGGAGTGAATGTAGCTTTCTGGTGTTCATGAAGAGAAGGAGAAAAAGAAGAGGAAAAGAGAAACTTGCAACGACATATTAAGAGAAGTGGGGGAGGAAGGAGTAATCCGATAATGGAATGTTATAGACTGAATACTCATGTGCGAAGTGTCATGGGAAACAACTTCCTTGTCATAATACTGAAAACGATGATAGTGTTGCTTGTAATGAGGATGGTGGTGAGGAATAATATTAAGAAGAATGGTAATGATGACGATGACGGTAATGATAATAAGGATAACGAGGCTTATGATAATAGAAATGATGGGGTGTACGTGTGTGTGTTTATATGTGTTTGTGCAATAAAAAATCTAACACTGATACAAATGACAAGGGCTATTGCCGTGATAGCAATAGCAACAAAAATAAAGACTTGCAACCAGCACAAAGTGTCGTTTTGCCAAACGAGAAAGTTGAAAAGGGAACGCAGTTGCGTTTCCACTTACCGTAGCTACTTCCCCCGCTGAGGAACAGGACGCCCTTGCCTCCTCCTCCCCCGCCGCCTCCACCTCCATGGCCACCTCCACCTCCGTAGCCTCCTCCTCCGCCTCCACCGCCGCCGCCGCCGCCGCTGCCTTTGCTAATAAATATATGCGGTCCA